CATGGTCCCCAAAGCGCGTTCTACTACTTTAATATACGACGAATCGTCATTACGGCGTCGTCTCGCGACAATAGTTGGTGTCTGAGTGTTCTCATTTTCTTCAATGGTATCCAAAGTACCCAAGTCCTACAAGGAAACGAAATTAATAATACAATAGAACAAAATATGTGTACTGTAAATTATGCATACATACTATGCAAATTTGAAATTGTTGGTGCCTCCAATCGCAAAGTCGGTTCTAGAAACTTTAACAAATGGAAGATTTGTGGTAGTTGCTTGGTAGAAGCTCCTTGTCCACTCTTTGTTGAATTCATTTTGTTTAAAGTTGTCTGTAATAAACATAGATAGCAAGTATGCATTTAAACTATGAAATATAAAGGCTGCGTTTCTTTATACATTCCGGATAATCCCATTTCACAGCCGGAATAAACAGAATGCGTTTGAAATATACGTTAACATATCATCAGGAACGTTCTAAAGAATAAGTAAACAAAAAAGTTTATTCCAAACGTTCAGAATGAATAAAAAAATTCAGCCAAAATGTCTCGGACCGTGGATACATACCCCGAAGGAGCAACGCAAACTGTTCTACTTGTTTTTTATTTCGGACGGTGCCATCTTCATTTCGCCAGCTATCTCCTTCCAGAGCGCTTTTCTCCGTCTCCGCGCTTGTCCATTTTGCTTCGAGTTTCCGGATTCCCTTCTTTGCTGGTCTGCTATCTTGGGATGCAGATGCGATGATTTCGTAGCTTTCTTCCATTACTGGTAATTACAGTATTGCAATTCAAACAGCAGATAAAGTTTTTATTAAAAGAACAAACTCTTACCAATGTATTGCAAAAATAGCACAATTAGTATCTCACTGCTGCTTTGTATGTTTATTCTTAAAAAATGCGGTAAAATTTCAACAGGTTGTCAATTTGATTTGTGATGCCATTTGACAATATTTTGATTGACTGATTGATTTCGAAGCACAAACTTTGGTGTTTTCACTGAGTTGCCATTCTGTGATTAAAACTTTTATCATAGATTAACAAAAGATGGCAATGGCACCGAATGGCAAGCGTTTCCATTAATTTGACAAAATGTGCCATTGAATTTGACATAGTTTTTTACGTTATCCTGTTTTATAAATTTGTAATATAGTCGGTAAACACATTGCTTATTGATTATTAAATGAAATGAAATGAAATAGTTACGCTGTAATTGAACAAACGGCTACGAACTCGTTCAAAACCTTGATTCAAGCGTTGTTACCGCCGCATACAGGTATCTTCAATGCAGAATTGTGGGCAATACAGCGGGCTATCAAACACGCAGCATCAACAAATCGCAAAGCTTTAACATGTTCCGATAGCTTAAGCGTTGTTAAACATCTTGCATCTACCAGAAACAGCAATTTAATTCAGCATGTACTTAAATATCAAGGCCCTACAATAAAAATATTGTGGCTCCCAGGACATGTCGGAATAAAAGGAAACGAGATGGCTGACAGCAAAGCGGCTGAGGCTTTGTCGCTCCCATTAACAACAGAAGTTCCCTGCCTAAGTTCTATTATAACCAACTTCTGCTACAACATGCAAGAAGACCACCAGAAATAAAATAATTTAAAAAAATTTTTTTTTAAAACAAGCTTTTGTTTAACATGTACAATCAAAGGAATAAAATAAGGTAGTTAACAAAAGATTTGTAAAACTGCACTTAAATGAATAAAATAAGTTAAGCTTTCGTTGAAGTTACTAAAAGCCAAATAATGAAAGGAGTTACTCAAACTCTAATAAAAACAATAACAATTTGTACTGATTTACGTCGTTTTTCCAAGTTTGTCACGCGAATAGCGAACCGCCATTTACATATCTGCATACATACATACATATCGTCGCTGCGCCAACAAAAACAGTTATGTGTTCCAATAACTTTTCACGAGAGCAAAAAAACTGATTCCTGGTGCCAATAGGCAATATTTTGCAAATGTCGTATTAAAAAAAAATATATATTAAAAATATATTGATTTAGGAAAAAAAAACTATTTTGTTGACCAATTGTAACGACAGCCGATTTAATATGAATATATATGCATATATATATATATGTACATACATATATGTGGATATATGCATGAACATGTGTATATCTATGCATGCATATTCTAAATCAAAGAAGCAACCCTTTTCGAACCACCTCATGCGGTTAAATTCGCCCTGGTGATAACAGTAGAAGCAGTATAAGTAAACAAAATAAAAACTTTCCACTGGCTACCATGAAGACGTAAAGTCCAAAGTCAAAATAGCGGGTGCGATACAACTTGTTCGATGTCGTGATCTGCGATCTTGCTATTGGCTGGCCTGAGCTTGTGTATATGTGTCTGCTTGTAAACAAAAGGATAACCGCAGAATCACCGTAACCAAAACAAAGGTCGAAAATGCTTAAATAGCGAGCTGAAGCCTTAATCGAGATTCTTTTGGAGAAAGTCACAGTGCTGAAAGTCAGAATTGACCGAGCGCGAACTATATTCACCCGTCGTTACATCACAAAAAGTTTTAAGTAAAATTTAAAGTTATTTGGTGCACAAAGAAAGGTAAAACCAAAACCTTAAGAGAAATTTACCGAATACAGTGATACAGTGGTTAAATGTATATCCGGGCCGCGCTAACAAAAATTATAAGAAAATTCTCGGCAACACTAAGTGCCCCACCGTCGTAATCCACACACACACGCTAACGCCACACGGCTAACACGCACCACCGACTCAGCAACATCAGGCAAAACCATAGCATAAAGGCCAAACTCATCGCCGTTCCAGTATCACATGCATATAGACGGCTGGATATACACCGTACCGGCCTAAGCAAAGTCGCAGATCACACAACAACACCACATCACGGAGGATAAATCAAACTCACCCGCTCATACGCTACAGCAGTAATATCGACGTCGCACTAAAAAACGCCAGCATCACTAATAAACAGCGTTCCAGCAGCACACCTGGTTTATTTTAGTTTATTAATTTATAGAATTATTATTTTTGCACGTCTTTGGTTATTTTCGTATCGCATTTTGCCAATTACCATATTTTTTTTTTTTAATTTTGTAAGTTTGCTATTTCATCACCCTTTTCTTCGAATTTAGTTGTTCTAAGCTTAGTTTTATTTTCACCACATTATTTACATTGCGTTTATTTTTGAGTTTTGACATTCAGCTCAAATTCATCACGCTCTTTTTTTTACTCTGTACTCGCGTTACACCTTAGTTCTTATTTGCCAAATAACTGCAGTTTCCTATTATTAGTAACATTAATCCGATCACTTATTTTGCTTTTCACGCACAATTCTTGTTGTTAATAACGATAAGTTATAGATATAATTTTTTTTTCGGTTTATTAATTTCTTTTGTATTTTATTTTTATTTTTTTTTTGTCACACGCACCGGTATACATACATACATACGTTCAAACGACACTTAGTTTGTTTTCGCGACGGATTAAAGGGCCGAACTGAAATGGAGAGCAAAACAGGTGGCATACGTACCCACTAATAGTGATCCACTATACCACCTGTTTCTGTTTGTTTGGTTACTCTCCTTTCCAGTAGGTATATGTACATATGAATGCTTTGTTTTT